CCCAAAGCTCGTTATGATAAGACTCATTAGTCTCAATATATATATACTGTCGCCCCCCCTACTATCGTTGAAAACATTGATGATGTGGAAGAAAACCCACCTCCTGATCCAAATGATGAATTAACAGTCAAGGAACTTCAACAGCAAATAGACACATTACGTGTTTATAATCCAATACCAATTGAAGATTTACTAAACCTTGAAGAAGAACGAGAAGTACATCACCAATTTACTGATGAAGACCTGATTCAAACCACGACGGAAGTAGAACAGGTAGAAGAGGAATTCGTAATGCTGCCCCTAACTGGAGAAGAACAATTGAACATCTTGCGTGGTGCCTTGAGGATCGTGGATGAAAGAATTGATGATGGTGGAGTGACAATGAAAACCTTACGCAAGCTACAATCCTGTATCCGTGAAGAGGTTCGAAAAGAAAAGGCCGGGAAGCAACTTCAATGTAGATTAGATCAATATTTCACTTGATCAAAGGATGTTTTTCAGCTTTATTCACTTTTTTTTTTTCTTTTTATTAAATCCTTTGAATAAATTTTTTGAGAAAAAAGTTGCGTATAAGATTGACCAAAGATAAAAAAAAAAGTGTTTCCAACGAATTCTTACGGTATTAGCAATGTAAAAGAAAAATGCTACTGCTACTAAAATTTTAGGCAGTCTTTCACTAAGTAATAAATGCAGAACGATATAAACGAGATCATACTTATCTGTGCGATCTGTACATGCCGTCTTTCTTGTCAAGGTTAACAGTTAATTACTAGCGCTAATTCAGTAATTAGCGTTAGTATCTTCGATCTTTAATAATTCATGTTCTGATTGGCTGGTTATCATGTAACCATAATCGACAAACCGGGAACGTGTATATTTTGGATTACCGGTACTATTACCGGATATCAGAAATGGCAGGTTATCGGTTATGTATTAAGGAACAGACCTGGTGGATCGATTTTTAATCGATTATGGTAGGATATCGGTTTTGATAGGATCGGTTTGGGGAGGGCTGACAGTATATATATATTGAGACTAATGAGTCTTATCATAACGAGCTTTGGGTATAATAAACGATAGATCCTCAAATACTTATTAGTTCACTATAAAAGGCGTAATAGACATCTAAAAAATACATATCTAGACCTGTTTTTTTCTTTATTGTTTTGTTAAAGTGAGAAACGATAGAAACTAATTAAGTTTACGAATATGATGTAATTTAATTGGTTTATTGTCACAGCTAAATGTGAACATGATATAACATACGTCATAGCCGTAACCGGGATATTGTCAAAATAACGGTTCCCAAGCTCTAACCATAAGCATGACCCCGCACAACAAATTAATACATAAAATCTAATCGGCCAAGGCAGCCACCTTAAGAAAAGAGAAAGAAATTTTCAAAATCTTTCGTGTGTCATTTGGTTTTTTTTTATACGTAGTTAGATTAGAATTTAGGGTTTGGGTTTATAATAAAAGAGTATAAATTAATTGTGTACGTAATAATACGTAATAATTTCAGATACTGTATACGTACGAAAAAGGCATTGAGGATACGTATATAAAAAATTATACGTACGTACGTATTACAAATAAAGAATAAAATAAAGACTATGTATTTTAAAATTATTAATATGAAATTTAGTTCTACGTAATAACCAGTGGCCACAATTTTGTGTAACTTGTAAATTAATAACGATAAACCAAAAAAAAAAATTCATTTCTTTAGAGTTAGGGCGAGGCCTGGGATTTTAGTAATGTGTTATATATGGGTGACGCCAAATGAAAACAAGGAATTCTATAGATTTATTAAAACAATTAATTCGGGCTTTTAATAGTAATAACTCGTTAAAGGAATGTTACAATTTGTAACGTTTTTAATCACAAGTTATTAGCCCGGATTATCAATTTCGGGCTTTTAATGATAATAACATGTGATTAAAGGAATTGTAAAGTTCTTTTATTATTATTATTAAAAGTTTTCTTAAGAAATCTGTTTTAGAATTCCTGGTTTTTGAATTCACTTGACGTCACCCATATGCAAAATTTAGTTACGCAAATTTATCTACACGTTACACTAGTTAATTTAAGAGGTTTAGGATACGCAATTTAATAATTTCGTACGTATCAGGTATTACAGTATTAGCTGTTAGATTGATTGAAGTTAATTGCTATGCCAATTCACGTGATCAACAAATCACTTATCCATGTGAATGAAACTAATTTACATATTGATAATATTAGAGGGTAATTTTTATTAGAGACTCTATTCAAAAGATCATTTTATCAAATTTATGAAATTTCTCGATTATCAATTATTAATTAATAATTCAATTTACGTAGAATCGATTAACACTTCTATCACAAGAAAATTCTTTTATTAAAATAACTTGATATTTTCTTTTGTTAAAAAAAAACCCCCCGAAACGTGACAGTAGTACATTATAAAATTCCTTTTATTGGCGTTAGACATTTAAAGTCCATATTAGATTATGTGAACAATTATTGTTGCAATGCACAGTATATCATTACTAAAAATGAAGTTTCGTAAAACAATGGTTTTTTTCCCTAATATATACATATATAATTAATATCGATGTCGATTAATTATCGTCAAATTGGAATTGCATTCCCTTGTGTTATGGAAGAACAAATTTTTAGAAAATCTAGAAACTCTTTGTGCCTACATTGATAGGCAAACATTAATTTTAATATCGTTTAGTTTCTGTGATTTACTCTCACGTTAAGGAGGAAAGACTCCGTAAAGAAATGTTAAATACATGAATAATTCCATGATGTTTGAATACGTTGTCGAAAAATAGTTAACACTTTCTCTAAATTTATATCGTTGCTGCGTTATTATATAACAAAACAAAAATGAAACATCAACGTATAAACCAAGATACAACCCCTTTAAAGAAATTTTGTAAATTCTTTAAGCGATTGTATCAAAAAAAACCAAAGCCTGCTTGTCAAGCACCGGGATGTAGCAACCTTTGCTCTAAAAAGGACATTTTTTGTAGCAATAATTGCAAATTATCATCTAAACCTTTACCAAATTTATCAAACTCTGAAATTGTTAAAAATTCTGTAAATGAATTGAACAATGACTCTCAGAAAACATCAAACATTTCTACACCTTTAATAACTATATCATATTCACCAACTGACACTGCACAGGCTAATCCCCAGATTACTTCATCTTTCTTTACACGTATTTTAGAACGTAAAAAGTCTACCGAAAGTGAATTTTCGGGAGATGAAGATAATCTTTCATCTAATGGCAAAGATAAATCAAGAAAGTCAATATTCCTTGGCCCAAAAATGGCAATAAATTCACAGAGTTCAATTTCTAGTGAAGTTTCCAGTGATCCTAATGATTCAGCATATGAGTCAACAAGTTTAGAGACGGAATCACCAAAAATATCGAAAAAGAAGGAAAATTTAAAGATTGGAAAGACAATAATTCAAGAACTGAAAGCAGGTGATGAGAGTTATGAAGAAGTCAAAAAGACGTTTCAACAAGGGCTTCCCGCCAATTCTATTATTGGAATATTTCAGTTACAAATGCCTACTAAACTTGTGAATGGACATGAAGCATATAAAAACAAGTTTGCCAAAAATTTAAAGAAATCAAAGGATAATGTAACCTTTAAAATGTTCCATGGTACAAAACATAATTGTGATCCTCAACGTTTTATCGATAAACGAAAGCCTAAATTCTGCAGATCAAATTGCGGTCTTTGTGGAATTGCTCAAGAAGGAAATCAATCTAAATTTTCTAATTATAGTGGTAGTAAGTATATTAATTGATTTCTCTCTCGTGATATTGACATGATACTGATTTTAATTTTAATTTTTTTTTTTTTTATCATAAGAAATGTGGTTTGCCGTCAATTCGTATACTTCATTGGGATATTGTGGAAATATTAACATAAAGACTATGTTTGTCGTTGATGTAATTGCCGAACGATGCAATCCAAATGGAACAATTATAGTTAGTAATAACGCAGTAAGTATCACGAATTACCTTAATTTTCCTTATGTCTTAAATTATCTAATAATTTATTTTACTAAATTAGGCAACGATTCCGAGATACCTTATTATATTTACGTAACGGTAATGAAATGCAAGAATATACGTAGACTGAATATTTTTGCATGCGCTGTGCGTAGCAATAATATTTTTTACGTTTTATATATATATATATATATTTTAAATGAGATAATTTTTTAGGAAATCATTATGGTTTCCCGAAAGTCATTCATTAACATATGTGGTTTTCAATTATATAATTTCGATCAGGGATAGTGTTATTTTCTTAGAAAAGAACCTATGTCTTAACATAGCATTTATCAATTGGTGAAAACAGATAATCACATTATTATTATATTTATTTATTATTCAAAGACATTATTCAATTATATTAACAAAGACATTTAAAAGACATTATTCAAGGACATTAGATTTCGAAATCCAATAAGCTTATGAGCTTATTTTTCGAACTTTTTTATTTTTAATTTATACTGTACAATAATAATAAACATGTATTTAGAATTCAAATTGAATTCTAGAAACTTTTAACAATAGCAGGAATTATATATCTTAAAAAAGAATGCTAACATATTTAGGTTAAATTTATTGAGATTCGAAAAGTTTTTTGTTTTTTTTTTTTTGAACATGGATTCATGTCAATGTTTCTATTTTTTTTCTGTATCTAGAACGTAAAATATTTATTAAAAACTAATTAAATATGTTGAATTACTTTTTTTAACTGATAGAACGGCTTTTTTTTTAAGATAATGCGCACTTGATTACATCCTAAAAGATATCCAAGTGATATTCAGGTTTTTGTTCAAAGCGTGTACAGACTTAGTCTTAGAATGGCATCTCAAAATTTACTTTATTAATTGGCTAAAAAATATTATTCATGCGAATAGAAATTTCTAAACGCCAATGTTTCTCGTTAGCTCCACAACAAAAATAAAGTTTTGGAATCTCTATATAAACCTTATAGTTGCTTTGCTTAGCTGAAAAACACCGAGGTTATCAGAGATATTTTGCGACAAGGTTCATAACAATTGGATATAATTATGAAGATGGTGATATTCTTTAATCGGTAGTTTTTATAAAAACAAGAGCCGAACACTTTCTTAATATTTTATAAATAATATTCAGAGTTGTTTGTATTAAGTTACCGGTAAGTTACCATGACTTGCTTGAAAAGTGCGGCCATTATCAGAAGATTTCGTTATGGTATAAGGAGGAGGGTTTCGGAATAAAATCCAAGTTACTTCACTGTAATTTTTGGTAACTTACCACCAAAATTTATAAATTACCGTAATTTTACGACCCTGAAACATAAGATATCCAAAATCACTACATTTTTTTTTATATATATAAAAATTTTTTTTTAATACATAAATATTTAATGTTCTCAAAATTGATTAGTTGCTTGAAATCACTTAAAAACATTAAATTCTGATGATAAACTAGAATGCATGTTTAATTCTATGAGTTGGTATTTAGATCCGTTCCCACGTGTTTTCTATGCATTATAATAAATATCAATTTAAATCACATATACACGCACAAATTTTAAGAGATCATATGCCTAGATAGTAATTCTTAGGATCAGTATTAAATTCACATTTAAATCCACTTGCACAAAAGTGCATTTAAAATTTTTTACCTGACACATTAATAAAAAAAAAGACTAATATTTTATATATTAATTAAATTTTGTGAACTTTTTAATCTGATTTTTGCTTATACATTGTACATTAATTTTACAAATTTTTGTACATTAAAAAAACACTTGCACGTAGTACAACCTTTTGTAGACCAATTTAAACCTTGCTCCAGACAATTATTAATCTTCGTTATCAGATATGTCCATGTGTAAAGTATCTATAATATTCATTGAATGTAATGTATAATCAACAAGAAATGAATCGGTAATCATTCGATCCAACCGTTGATAGTGTCTTTCTGTATAAGGCAGCAAACCATCTAATAACTATATTGTAATTATATAAATTTTTTATGTAAAATATATAATAACTTTAATATACGAATGATAATTTCACAGTAAGTAAACTTACTTCTTTTATGCCATTAATTTCCAATAATTTTTCTGATGAAAATGTTTTTAAAATAACATGTAATATTGTTTGTGCGGTTCGAAAATGTTTGGCATTAGTGTTCCAATCACGGATATATTTAAGCAATTGTTCAAGATCATCTTTAGAAAGATTGGTAATAATATTATCAATAGATTCAGACCCTGTAATACTAGTATCTCCTATAAAAAAAAAATTAGGATAACATAAGTATAAAAATATTACATGATGGAAAGATTGATTAATCACCTTCAGTTCGGCCATTTAATATTTCTGTAAAAAGATTCAGTAACCTAAAAGGCTGATTCAAAGACATGGTAAGAGTAATGGCATTTTTATAATCCTTCTTCAACAAGTAATTTGCCAAATCTTGTTCTCTAAGATACCATAAAGTAATTATGGAAATGATATTATAATAATAAATGACAAAATTTAATAATTATGTAATTGAATTAGTTACTTTAAAATTTGTTCCTCTTCTTCTTTTACACGTTTCTCCATTTCCTCAGTAGTACAATCCTCCCACAAATTTATCAAAGAATCGGCTCCACCGGATACAACAACATTTTCATCTTTGCGTACTGTCAATGCCCATATTTTCTCCGTGTGATTATCCAATGTAGCAACACATTCATTGGACTTAATTGTCCAAAGTTTAAGAAGGCCATCTGAACCACAAGACATTAATTGGGTTCCAGATGTCAGAAATGAAGCTTTCAAGACAGTGTTTGTATGCCCTTCGAAAGTCTAATAAATATTTAACAATAAGCATGGAAAATAAATAAGCAATAATTAATTAATCCAAATATTATCTACGATAATACCTTTAAACAAGTAAAGTCAGTTGTTGACCAAATTTTGATGGTTTTGTCTCCAGAGCTTGTTACTATAGTTTTATCAACAGGTGAAAACTGGACAGACCAAACACCGCGTTTATGTCCAGAACAAGTACCAAGCAATTTCCCATCATTAATAGACCATATTTTAACACTTTTATCTTGTGAACCAGTGGCAAAAATCATATCATTTGGTGCGACTGCTATTGAGTTGATATCCTTATCATGTGCTTTGTTCGTATATAGAGCTCTCGGTCTAAAGTTTTCATCAGGTTTAGATTGATCATCTAAATTAGAAAAGACAATAATAAATGAATTATAAGCTTGAAGATTGGCACTAATAAATACCTTTTCTTACACTCACCTAAGTAAGATAAATCCCAATACTTTATGGTACGGTCCTGACTCCCAGTAAGGCAAAACTTTAAAGATTTCTTTGAAAAAGCTACTGTGCCAATTGCTGCAGTATGACCTATACATATGCCTAAACATTTGACTCGATGATCCAAATTCTCATTATCCACGTCAATATTCCATATTCTTGCTGTATGATCTTTAGAACCGGATACCAATACAGTTCCATCATATGACTTGTCCAGGCAAATAACAATGTCAGTATGTCCATATATAATATTGAAATCAAAGGATTTAATATTATATAAATTTATTTGTTCTGTATTGGTAGCAATAGCAAGGTGTGTTTCGCCTTTTCCAACATATGCAAGATCAATAATCTCATCGTTATATCCAATAATTTGTTTAACACGCCTGAGACCAGAATTGATATGATAAAATAATATATTTTGATCACTAGTGATAGCAGTCAAAAGATTACTTTTACGAAGATATCTACAAATTTAAAATATATATTAAATAAATTATATTTGATTATAAATATATTTATAGAATTCAAGGGGTAAGGAAATCGGAAATTACGAACATAATATCAGATATTACATGTTTGGTATTCTTTTCAGGTTCCTGAGTTTTGATAAGTTTACCAGTTTGAAAATCCCATATTCTAATGATTCCTGTAAAATAATATATGTATATCCAAATCAATCACCAATATTTATTTTAATTTTATGATAACAATAGCAAAGACAACAAACCTTTATCACCACCAGTATAAAATAACTCTCCTTCAAAATCCTCTTCTGTATTACTTATTGTTGTGTTAGGTTGCAAAACTCCCAATGTTTCAATTATCTAAAATTAAGATAATATTACAATACTTTCTTGAATTATATAGTATTTTTTCAAGAAATGATTAAATATTATATACCTCAAATATTGGAAAGGTTTTCAACAAAACCTTTTTGTTAAAGTCCCATATATTTACAACCTTATCTCGGGAACCACTAATAAGGAACCGACCATCATTTGACATATCTAATCCACGAATCATACTAACATGACTCTTCAATACAGCAACACACCTAGAATGTTTATCAGAATAAGCACTTAACAATCAATTAATCAATCATCATAATGTAACCTACTTTCGGTCCTGTAAATCCCATACACGTATGTTACAATCATCTGCACCAGAAATCAATGTCCATTGATTATTTTCTAAATGAAATTTTAGGGCACTAACTATCCCCCCATGACCTCTAAAGTTGTGTGTACAGAAACCACCATCAATATCCCAAACTTTAACTGTACTATCAGCAGAACCTGTAGCAACCAAAGAAGAAGTAGGGTCTATATCCATCACTATTATTGGAGCTTCATGAGCCTGATTATTTAAATTGAAAATATTAGAAAAAAATAAATATTTTTATTACTAAATTAAAAAATATATAAATATATATTTTTACCTTAAAAGATTTTTTTATAAGACCTGTTTTTAAATCCCATATTTTTACAACTAAACTTCGACTTGAAGTTATGATTTGATTACCATCAGGTGTTATCGCAAATGTAGTAATTAATTCACTATCCTATCATAGACTAAAAAAGTTACAACATGAAAATTTTACGATTTAAAAAAAAAAAAAACATATTCAATTTAAATAATTTTTTTTAATCATACACCACTTAAATGAAACACATTATTTCCATTATGAATATCAGTCACTATGACACTATCACCAACAGTAGTTATCAAAAGATTTTCATCGGGTGATATAGCAACTTTTCCACCTGTATAAAGAGGTCTAATAGTCTGTGTCGTTTTAAAACTTTTTTTTTTTTTTAAAAAAAAAAAATTGTAATGAAAAGTTAATAGGATTTGATTAATATGAATCATCATTGCAAATTATAATTTTACCTGCTTTTAAGTTGAAGTTTGCCTACCGCTTCTGGCATCGTAATTTTTTTTTAAAAAAAAACTGATTTAAAAATTTTATTTTATCATTATATACATGAGATCTGTGTAACCTTAACTGTTCAGTTAGCGATCCAATAACGCACGTGTCAAGAAATATAGCCATAGTATGGATGAGGTATCTTGGTATTCCTACGATTCCTATAGTCGTCCTAATGAGTTTAGGGCGATACAACAAGGTGGGATATCTCGATTCCTTGTGATAAATCAAATCAAATAAAGCATATCAACATATTATCAAATCAAACAAACGATTCATATATTAAATATATATAAATCCAAAGAATCCCGAGATATTTAGTTTGGAGATTATCTTCAGCCATCACTTAGATATGATATGTATCTCCTTGGTATTTCTAGGATATATTTTTTCGGTGCTTAAGTTTCTCAATTATTTATTGTTTTATATATTTTTATATATTAAAGAATTGACTGTTTCCGCGAAGCCTTGTTAATTTATACCCAAGACATAATGTGTATACCCCTAAAAAATGTTACGTGACTGTGTTTAAATTTTCTCCAAAAGTCCTATGTTTAAAATTAGGAGTCTATGCTTCTTCGCTTCGTTGAAATATTAGCAAAATTACGCTTAAATTACAATTTGGATATTTCGCTTCGATGAAATATTAGCAAAATTACGTAAAATCTACTTAAATTACAAATTGGATATGAACTTTAAATAATTTGGTCATATATACTTAACACTCAAAGATGCGTAATTTTTTCGATATTATGATATTATTTTTATTTTTACTTTTTTTTAAATGGAATCTTCTCCCAATAAATATCATAAAGTTTAAAATTATATAATAATTTTTAGTTTCGGAGATTAGTTCTCTTATCGGATTTTGTTTTAAAAAATTTCTTAGCATTGATTATACAATATCTAGAGAAAAACTCAAGTATTGCAGAAGTTAACCCTTTTTCTACAGAAAAAATTGATAAGTGCTTTGAATGAACAAGAATAAATTCAAACCGACGAAAGAAAATGAAAAAACTCTTAGTATAATATAATTTTTTCTTTTGTAAACAAAAATAATGTAATAAATAATTTGAGCAAAGAAAAATTCTATACACAATTATTAATTAACGTATATTATTTTTGCAAAGATTGATATCATAATCGAAAAAATTGATATTAGAGATGCGGTATAAACTGTTATGGCTAATACCTATGACCAAATTATTCTAAGTTCATGTTCGAATTGTGATTTAAGTAAATTTTCAATGTAATTTTGCTAGCATTCAGCGAAGCGAAAGAAGTATAGGCATTAATATTTAAATATACCGTATTTACGCGAAATAACGCACATGGACGTTATTTCGAAAATTGCATTCTCTTAAAATAGCATAGTCAGTTTCGAAATAACACCCATGCGCGTCCCGCACCATATATTAATTTTAATAAATCATAATTATACTCATGCACTATTTGAAGGGTATTGGGGAATTTGGTAGAAATTTGAACTTTAACTCGAAACAACACCCATGCGCGTACTCGAAATAACGCGAAGGTGCGCGTTATATCGCGTAAATACGGTAGGACTTTGGCTAAATTTAAACTCAGTTATGTAACTTTTTTTTAGGGGTATACTAGGTCCCAAAACAACAAGTGTATAACTATTACGTATGTCATCAGCTCGGTTACGGTACGATTCCCCGAAAACTATTTATCCGAAAGTCTATTTACCCGACATCACATGAGGTGAAAATAATATACCTATAGCTAACTAAATGCTAAATTGTCATCCTATGTGATATCGGGTAAATGGACTGTCAGGTAAGTAGTTTTCGGGGAATTGAGCGACAACCCATCAGCTCTAGTACGGTATATTTTTTTACAGGAATTATGAATGAATGTAAAATATAATTTTTTTAATAGTTAAAGGAACTCTAATACATTATTTAAAATAAATAGATAGTTCTATTCTGAGATCTTTATTTAGATTATATAATTTCAATTCATTAAATGCATGTAAATTTTTCTTGTTCTAAAGTTTTTAATTTGTCTATTACTCTAATGTAATTTACAGAATATATAACGATAACGATAAGTAAGTTTAAATATCCGAGCTCCGGACTTCAATGGTTTCCATTTCCTAGTATAAGTTACGTGCTTAGTAATCCTTCTGGCTATGATCAATAATTTAAGTCATGTTCAAATGATTTATAACAGTATAAAATAATTCCTTCCTTTTGTTTATTATTAAAAATAAAATTGGTTTCTGACAAAATATTAAAATAATAATTTATAAAAGTAATAATTAATTAAGGGGATTAAATTATTTAATATACAGTACAATAAATGTATATTTGGTGATTTTAGTACATATGTTGTGCGTCAGATTAGAACTCGGCGTCAGATTAAAACCAACGTGCGTCAGATTAAATCCATTAGGCCAGCATTAAATGATCTGCAATAATCGGCCCTGCTAAATCCTAGTTCTCACCCTAACCCTAACTCTAATTTAAGCCAGTTTTAATCTGACGCAGGTTTTAATCTGACGCACAACATATATAATAATAAAGTTTAAACTGTATTGATTTACTTTTCTTTTATCTCACTGATAACCTCATCAATAGCTTCATTATTGACCGTTTCATTACTGACAGCTTTATCATTACTAGTTTCATTACTGACAGTTTTATCATTACTGGCATTTTCTTTCTCAACATTTTCTTCGTCATTTATACCGCCTTTATTCTCACGTAGTCTGATGACTACAACCACAATAATGATCATGAGCCAATAAACGAAATAGCTAATTGTCGAATCAATGGTAGCTTCATTTGTCCATCCAAATATTGATCCCATAACATCCCAAAAATCATTTTCTTCTGGATCACAACAATTTAATTTCCAAATAACCATAGTATGACCACCGGCAGCTCTATTCAATTTATGAACAGCGCTAGAGAAAAGACCGGCAGCAATGAATAATAATAAAATAGTTGTCGAAATGAAAAATGCGGCAATCGAAAGAACGTGAGAGCCTCTATATATAAGCCATCCTATGAAAATACCGGTAATAGTTCCCATAATAACTGGAATAGGGAGACTAGTTGCTTCTTTGCCGTAACCAACCTATGAAATAATAAAAGTATGAATAAATGCTATTCGCATCAGACAAAATACACGTATAATAGATATAATAGATACCCCTGCAATGAATATAACTGCTTCCAACGCTTCACGACAGATGACAGTAAAAGGCAGCAATATCAAAGCCCACTTATTCCCTTTTTCATTTCGTTCGAGATATTGTTCGGTCAATTTTTGAAGTTTATTTTCCCACTTTGTTTTCCATTGTTGAACGCGAATCAAGCTTAATGACATTAATGTTATAATAATAGATGCAACAAGTGACAAAGATCCCTCTATATATTCATATATATTCACGTAAAAATAATATAATTAGATCAATATGTATGACATGTAAGTACACGCGCGATGAACCTTACCCCATGCATCTTCATTGTTTTCATATAAATTTTTGGTAGTAGTGTAGAAAACTACAATTAAAGCTGCCCCAACGACTATTGACACAAATAATCCACATATTGATCCAATCCATATTTGTTTTTTTAAATGTTTTCGCAAGACAATTTTATCGTCAGGAATGAGTTTGTCAATAAAACTAAGAAGCACAGCAATTATTATCGTGAATTCAAGCGTTTCACGCAACATAATAAAGTAAGAAGGGACATCAAATAAATAAACCATTTTTTAAGATTTAAAAATGTGTCGTGAAGTGTCTATCGTGAAGTGTTTAATGAGAAAGTAAAAACACGAAAACAAATGTAAAAAATATTTGCAGAGAATTTTATTTGTTTTCTCAAAGAAATATTATCAGGCACATATATAGTATGTTTTATTAAATTAGATTAATACTATATTCATGTGATATCAACGTAGGCAATACGTTATATAGCATTTGCTTACAGAAATCTGCAAACATATGTTACGATTGACAATATTTTCGGTTTTTTTTTACTTCTACGGAATAATTTGATAAAGTTTCTTTTATATGAGGTTTTCTCTTGACAGCACTCCTACGTTTATAGAATTAAAATTTTATCAAATTTGCCAGCTATTATATTAGACTTTTTAAATTTTATAAAAAATTATTTATTTATTTCATTATAGTTAAATTTGATAAAATTTTTACTTATCTGTTATGTATTTCAAAAATTTTTTCATAAATCATGATAATCGTTAACAATTAAATAATATGAGCGATCTTGGATCCTAAGTAATGCCAATTTAGTTCGAAAGTGAGCCGTCGATATTACTAAGTATATAATTTAATATTTATATATATAATAATATTAGTATGAGGGTGTTCGATCAACTATGTTAGGGATGTTAAACGGTTCTTCTGGTCCATCTCCAGTATGGAACTTGAAAGTTAAACTAGTGGTTCGGGTAGTCTATTATTTTGTGGGTATTACAAAAATGTGTATTGTATAAACTACTTTGTATAATTGTATAATATAATTTATATATACATATTTCGCAAACTCTACAATACATATTTTCTTAAATATATATATTTATACATCTTTAGTAATTAGACGATATTATTTAATTCATTTCTCATTTTTTTATTAGCCAATTCTAAAGCTTCAATTTCAGCTTCTTTTCTTCGCAACTCAATTTCTTTCTCACGAATTGCAACTTCTCGTTCTTTAAGCTTAATTTTTTGTTCTTCAATTTCTAATTAGTGCAAATTACTTGATTCTAAGTCAATTTTAGACCTTTTATTTGCATTTCTATTTCTGTATCCGAAATGATTGTAATTATATTTTGTGATTTTTTAATGGGGGGTTTTTTTTGAACGAGACTTATTAATATTCGAAGACTTGTTTTTACTTCCTATTGATAATTTAATAATAAATTAAAATTAAAATTTATTTTATTTTAATTAAAAAAAAATATATTACTTTTACGTGTCATAGCGATTGATTTGCATTTAATTTCTCCATCATATCATGTAATAGGTATATTAAACTTGGTGTGTATTTGTATTCGATTAATTGGTTATTTCATCTAATTTTATTCCTCTAAAATAAAATTTTAAACTTCTGAAAGTTTGTATATTATAAATATTAATTAATAAATTTAAAAAACATTAAATTACAAATTAATTGCTAAAAGCAATTTTAGTTGTTTTCCAGATCGATTTGCATATGCATGAGCAGGTGCGGGATTATTTGGGATTATTTTGCATAGTGACTGTTGGCACTTCTTCGAAGATAGCGATTAGGTTTAATTTTTATTATTTACTTGTGAAATGTTACATGCTTAAAAATTAAACTGTATAAATACAATTGTAAGTGATTGACCAATCAGAAGAAAATTATCCTATAGCAAAACCTACAATTGCCAGGTTGGGCCTGGCCCATTGCGAATTCTATCTGCAAATGCCAATATGTATAGCTAATCGAACACGTTAAACATGTTAAACATGCATATTAAACATGTTAAATACGTTAAACGTGTTAAACATGTTAAATACATTAAACACGTTGAACACGTTAAACACGTTAAACACGTTAAACATGTTAAACACGTTAAATATGTTAAACATATTAAACACGTTAGATACGTTAAACATGTTAAACATGTTAGATATATTTACAATAAATAACCTTTATATAGAAATGTTTATTTCTAAATTTATAATTTGTTATTTTTTTAAGTTTTATTTTTACATATTTGCTTTTAGTTTTTATATGTTTGTATAATTTAGATTTTTATATATATAGGGTCATTGATCTCTTTATTTTTCTAGCAGAGAATTTTGAATATCTTATTTAAATAGTAATTTTTTTGTATATTAAATTAAAAATCATTTTAAATTTTATTAAAATAAACAAAAATATCTTGATAAATTTTAATAAAAATTTTTTATTTTAATTTTATGAATGGATAAAATTAAAATATAAAAATTTTTTAAATTTTTTAAAATTTGTTGTAATTTTTTTATTTTAATTTTAGCCATTTATGAAATTAAACTAAAAAAAAATTTCATTAAATTTTAATAAATAATTATTAGGATATTTTTATTAAAATTTTTAAAATTTTGATATAAAAATTGATATATTATAAAAATTGCTAAAAATATTTAAAATTCTAATATATATATTATATAATTTAGTTAAATAAGATAAGTATTTTATTTTATTTTTTTTATTATTAGTTTTTTTTTAATATAATATTTAATGACTAATAATTTATTTTTTTTAATATTATAGTTTTTAATTAATAAAAATTTAAGTTTTAAATTTTTATATTATATAAAAAATATTGATATTATTCTTACAAA